AACAGAAGACACCAACTTGTTACTTCTTTCGACACCATGGCAGACAATACGCTTGCAGAATTACGTCCTTTCACTGTGTAATCCATAAATGTTCCCGTGCTGTTTTAGACATGCAGTCCATGTTCGCAAATTGCTGACCACTTGATGTTCAGACCGTATTTCTTTTCGATTCATTTTTTTCTTCTAACTTGTACACATCGAACTGGGTGATTGATTGGTTTGTGCGTGATTTGGCCCGGCATGTACCGGTGTATCATTCATTCTTCCTGCGCATATACTTCTGTTTCGCTCCACGATCTACCATATAACCAATCATTCGTAACCCGTGCTGTTCGTGTGACATTGAATTGTTCTTTCTCTTCGCCAGACTAAGGCAGGCTCAGTTGTGAATGCGTTATTAGTGCACTTCGCCTTCAAATATAGTGCATTCGCACACTGGGAACCCCGTGGTTTCCTGGTAAACTATCTCCCCCGTAAATTACAACGAAATTACTCCGCGTTACTATGGTGAATTAGCGCACACACACACTTATTTATACACCCGACAAAGTCCCAAGATTCAATGTACTGTGTAGGCTTATTTTTGTTTGCATTAACGCTTTTGGGTGACCGTTCTCAAACCGAACCTCTCCTTGCGGGCTGCAGGGCTAACGCAGAAAGTTCACGTAGTCTGTTGGTCTCGTAACAGAGTAACCTGATCGAACGAAAATGGCACTAAGTCTTCTGGATGGATCTGTCACAATCTGCACTGGAACATATTCTAGTGGTGCAGGCGACAAGAATAGCCAACAGAAGCTTAGCTTTGCTCCGTTGTTGCCTGCGTACACCTGATTAAAGCAACCGGTAAACATATAGATAATAGTCTACTTCGCTGGCAGTCATTTACCAGGCCGTGTCTCTGTAAGGGGTGTTGAAGTTTCCGGTTTCGGTTGCGCGTTTCTTCCACACCGGTCACCCAACTTCCACTTGTTTGTGTGAACCCGATCACACGCTGATTATCTCTTGACAGGTTGGTTAATAGTAGCCAGCTTTCTCGTGACACAGTGAGTAATGATTCCACCCATATATGGGAAAAATTTCAAAGTGAACTGGACGGACGAGATTATACCCTTGATCTGACAGTAAGAAGTCGGTTTTAATCTCTATGCATCGCTGCAAATAACCTACAACCTCGTGTGTCAGTTGTTTGTCTTTTATCTTTACTTCCTCTTGATTAAGTAAATAATGATACGATTTTCAGGAAGGGGAAGCGGCCAGTCAACAGGCTACGGCCGTCAATGTGTACACGCTAGAAGTGTATCTTCGAATAAATCCCCGGGCGCTGTTGTGTGCGTCGCTCATTACGTTGTTGTTCGGGAATCTAGCCAGAATGCTCTTTGGTAACGCCCTATTCTGTTGTCTTCTATTTAAGTAAGAGACTCTTATTTTCCACAGACCGCACCAACCATGGCTCGTTGGTTTACCCGCAATAAATCATTTTCTAACACCACATCCAAAATAGTTAACACTTATCCTCGAGAGAGTGCAAGGGATCCTTCGATGTGGCTGTGCTCGTTCACCCCTACTGCTCCGCTCATGTAGCGGACAAATTGAAAACGATTTCAGAATTCGAAAGTTCACAGTACAATTGGTCATTTTTTTACAGGCTTATTTTCTCCTGTTTCACTTTGTGCCGATAAGGTGGTGGGTTGGTAAATTTCTTATATTGCTGACCTGCGCACGACACTTCTCCTTGTTTATAAAGTTTTCTCTTTTGGATCATTTGTTTGAGATGACTATCGATTGCGTAAAGCAGTTCCACCGATCGAACTCGATGACCAGCACATAATGTGGAGAATTCACGTTCATGCTTTTCCCGGATCCCTCTGACCACTTCTGTTGGAGATTTTTCCACCGGAGAGGGAACTGGTCCATGGGGAAATTCAGTTGTTTCCTGTCGAATCAGGTTCGGTCGGGTCTCATGTGATCTGAATGAATGTGCCCCTCGATTGGTGCATGACTGCATTAACAACATACGGTTTTTACCAATCATTTTGGTCTTCTGTGATTTTCAGATTCGTATTTTTTGCAAATCTCTGTAAGAACAAAGAAATGATTGAAGTTTACTAATGGTGTGATATATTGGTACACGTTGCAATCATAATTATTCACTGTATTGATTGGTTCACGAAAAATATACTATAACTTTCTGAAAAGAAGATTCGAACCAAATCAGCGCTGCCAGGGGAATAGGGGTGTACATGGCTGTTGCATACACAAACTAGTGTAATGGGCGGTGTAAGGGGTAATTCGCGAAGAGCTACTGTGCACCTATGGGAACCGACGACCCAAGCCAAAGGATTTGTACTAGTGTTCCTGGGATCAGTGTGGTAAACTGTCTACCAACAAAGTTGGCTGACAATCGCCTGTGTTCGAAAGTTAGAAATTGGGACCCGGAACAATCTGGTGGGAACAACGTGAACCGCTTGATCATCAAAATTACTGATAGTAATTTGCACCACCCAACTATCAAAGACCTTGAATAAATACCCACCGGGCAACCATAAAGTACATTCTCAAATAACATCGAAATACTACTAAACTTGAAGTTTCTGTGGTAAAAACGGTCGGTTTGGGACCGGTTTTACTGGCAATAGTGAGCTAAACTGTGCTGCTCACTTGTCACGAATGAACGACGATTGAATGGTGTTTTGATCACAGCTATGTTTAGTTCAAAGTTTTATATTGTATTGTATTCAAGCTTTAGCGAGGTTATATATACAAGCTTTCAGCCAAAAAATAGACCACCGTTACAATTCTGGTAAAAACAGGGGGAAAAGTGGGACATGAAAACGTACAAAGGTATGAGTTAATTACCAAATGCATTGGAAAGCTCAGAACGAACACTTTCCTTGTCGGTCAGTATCCGGCGAGAGAAATTATGGGTGACTTACCGAAATCAACGCTTATCATGCCCCACAGGCTGCTTATAGAATGTTGTGCACAACTAATGGAAAATAATGATACTATGCATGATCACTCACGGATGTTAAAGTATTAGGTTTTCCAATGCTTTATCAAGCGCCGATTTGAATAACTCAACTGTAGGAACACAACACTGGATAGAAGAGAATTCCATATACCGCACACTCTAACTGCAGACGAGTGATGTGGACAGTTTAGGTCACTCTTTTGAGTCCTCAACTTCAATGGATGTTCTCTGAGATTATTTTTTGAAAAAGTGCAAACAGAACGACAAAGTTAATCGGGTTGATGCACTGTATGCTATGTCAAGATTAAGTCTCCAGCCCTGAATTCGGTGGTACTGAGACGAGTAAAGTCCCTATATTTTCAGTCTTTCGAAGTGTCATGTTAGTAGCACCTAATTATTGGACGACGTGGTTCAGTTCCTATTAGCTTTTGTTTATACCCATTTTGATGACTACTGCAAATACGGAGTTCTAAATCATTAGCCCCAATGTATACGCTATAGGCCCTGTCTAACCATCGTCTGTTACCGATTTCGTTGAGTTTTCCGTTCATGCAACATTTCTCACAGCCGTGACAATATTTCTCAATGTTCGGGCGAAACAGAATGCCGTATATAATAAATAGGTATTTAGAGTTCACTTCAGAAGCCAGCAAACGATGCCTGATTTGCATCGTTTTTGGATTCTACTTACCCAGAGATGTGAATGCCGGTCTCAGAGTTTGGCTAGAATCAAAGCAAAATTTAGTGTTGTTGATAGAATGTTAGCAATCGGTGATAAATAGCAGTGTCACGCCAAACAGAAGTACCAAAAACGTTTTACTCCAACTTAAATCATGTTTACAGCTAACACCTCGTAGACCGTTCGAAAAACTGTTTAGTCCGTGATATTTTAGGTTATGCAATGCTGGCCATGCCATTACTAGTCGTAGTAGTGGTTTCACACAACGGACAGAAACAATTCCCTCTTTCCACATTACATCGGTTTTCGTCCACAGTAAAATTTATCATATTAGGAGATCCTAACGCGTCATTTAGTCTCTCCAGTCATTGGAGATGAGGATTGCCGATGGCTGGAGACGCTGAAATATGGCTCAGCGTGGCAGGATTGCTGTGGGGTTTGTTTGGCGAAACTCCGTTCCGCATAACACAAAAGGTTCACGGTGAAACTATAAAAAAAATAATTCCTTCGTTCTCTGTTTTCTCCATTTTCATTTAATCTCTCTCCATAACGTCATAATCATTGTATTGCATTGGCACTATGCTTGTTCTTAAGCCGGTGTAATATATATATCTTCAATCGCTAATGTAAAACAAATGATCGGGGACTGCTAAAATTTTGAAAATATTCCAGAAGGAGGATTTAAGTTGCTGAATAAGCTGGTTCTCGATTCTACATTCTGTCTAAATACAGTACAATTTATAACAAACCAAGCAACACACCCTTGTGAGACCAGACACAATCTTTAAGAACACTGAGCTCACTATGGCCACCCACCTACAATCTGGCAACGTAAGCACTGTTCTCAAAATTTCATTCACTCCTCCCAGATGCAAGCACCACGAATAGCATCTATACCCAGTTGACCGTTTCTTCACGCGATCCACATCTAGGATCACACACCAAACAGCTCTTAAAATATCTTACACGGACTTGCATCCACTTCAACCGAATAAAGTTTGTTAGGTGAAGAAGACAAATGTCACGAGAGATGATCAATTCGTTTAATCTCCTCGATCGCTAAATTTAAACAAACGCACTTATATTGGGTTAATCAACTATGGCAAACGAACGTGTGCAACCGCATACAACTTAGTAACTATGAAAGTAGTAGATCAACTCCACGATTAGTGTACCGATTGTATCATAAATTCGGTTGATGTAATCGAATGAGCAATGTCTCACTAATTCCCAAAAGTTAAACACTGCGATTACGTTACGGTGATTTGGATGGAAAATTAAGGTCAACTGTGTTTTGTTGTCATGAGATGTTTTGCAGCAGATAATCCTGGATTTGTTCTGATCCCTTGACCATCAGTTATCAGTTGCATCATTGATTTCACCAACCATTTTGGAATAGGTTCAACCATCAATGTGAGAGCCGATAGTTTGGTCTTCTTATGCATGCAACTACAACAACAGAACTGCTATACAGTGTGTGGGACGAAACGGGTTTGATAGCCATGTTTACGTTTGTCTAGATCAATTCCACAAGTAGAGGTAATGAATCTTTTTCATCAACCTGTCGACCCGAAAGACAGGAAAGAAGACAAACACAGAACCGAGCATATTGAGCGCAAGCCTCACATCCGAGTGCTACTTCAAGACATTTCATTCTAAGCTCGAATTTCTTTCGCAATGCTGCGTCTCATCCTACCGCCTCTTTAGTCTCTACCTTTCATCTACCTCTAGGTGACCATAACAAAGGATAAATGCATGCACAGCCTCCAACCAGTTTCTACCAAGCACGTTGCACTCGGATGGTGCAATATACAGGCCGTACCTGGATACCATCGGCTAGAGACGGTATGTTATCTAGCCGAGTGTCGAAAACAGTGGAATTCGTGCATTTTATCAAATTCCTTGCAACCTTAGTCCGCTGAAATTCTCTGAAATCTTCGAATATACTTCAAAATTTTCTATCTTGTTCTCACTGCTACATCCAAATCGGAAACCAAAGCCGGTGCACAGAGGTGCATGGTTAATGGTTGTATAAACTGAACCTGGATACCTCGATCACCAAGCGGTTCAAGGCGTGCTGAAAGGCCTGTGTTGTCGTCCAAAAAGGCGATATTATCGGCATATTCTAATTCAAGAACTCTGTTCTCCGGGAGAATTTCGACTCCGTCGACTGAAAAATCGTTCCGTAGAATACCATTGATGGCAAAGTTGAAGAAGAATGGGCTTATAGTGCAACCTTTTCAAACTCCAGTGGAGATCGCAAAGGATGGCAAGAGCAGGCCATATGCCTCAACCGGAACTGAGGTATGACGATACAACTCTTTGAGGATCGAAACATAATTCTCAGGTACTCCATACCTTTACAAACAGTTCCGTGGAGCGGTTCTATAAACCGAGTCGAAGGCTGCGCGAATGTCTCAAATCACAATGACCGTTGGTCTTCGGTAAGAATGACGCCGCCCTAGTAGCTGTTGGAGGGAGAAGATTTGATCGATTCATCTATGACAAGTGCGAAATCCAGTCTGCTCCTCTGGCGTACTGTACATTCTATGAAAAATGATGGACGCTATTAGATTTGACGCTTGTTGGATCAGGCTTATACCCTTATGATTTCCAGTCATTGCGTGGGCTCTTTTCAAAATCTAGGACGGCAATCGATTCCCCCACAATGAGAGAACGTACTGTGTGCTAAGCTTCAGAGAACAGAACCACCGATTCTCTAACAAGCTTCAATTCAGAGCTGCCGGAAGGCCATCGTAGCCGATTGCATTGTGAAGTTCCATGAATTAGATCTCCTTGCAGATTTCCGCATCATAAGGCCAGTCTGCTTAGATAGACAATTGGACGTGGACCGAAATAGCTGTGTGATAATCTTACACTGGTGAACGGCTAAGCTGTACCTCAAAGTGCTCTGCCTAGCGTACAAGACGTCGCTGTTAATTATGAGCATGCAAGTCGTTAGCCTCGAAGATCGTTTCTCTCACACCCAAAGCTTTCCTACGCGTGACCAGAACGAGGTTGAGCAGCCTATGGGAATTGTTCATAGCGACAGTACGTTTTATCTCTGATGCGCGTTGAGTTCACCAGATTTCGTCGTCTCTGTGCATGCTTGCGTTGAGGTTGTCCCGGTATTAGTCGCGTTTCCTTATGCCCGTCTGGACTGATTGGCGTGCGTCAAGAAGACTTCGAAATTCCACGAAAATCCAGCGTTTCACGGCA